GCTAGGATTACAGGCGTGAGCCACCGCGCCCGGCCCATTCACCTGTTTAGAAATTGAAAAATACAGTTCTAAATTAACCCAAGAGTTAAAGAATAAAATTAATAATAATGCAAATTAGAAAATAACTAAGTAATAACAAAAAGAATGTACTATACATTAAAATTCTGGGAGCAGCTGGAGTAATACATAGGGAAATTTTAGATCAAATGCTCATATTAGAAAATGACCTAAACCTTCAGGTAGTTTAAAAAAATGACAATAAAAAAAGAAAAATAGATATTTTTAAACAGCAGAAAGTTACAATAAAGAGAAGCAGAAATGAATTACACATAAACATAAAACAAACTTACAATGGCGATCAATCAGGCCAAGAGTTGTTTATTAGAAAAGGCTAATAAAAAAAAATCTGATCTCCGGTGAGAATAATCAAGGAAAAAAGAAGGAAGATAATGTAAATATATTAAGATTGAAAGGGGGAACTTAACTGCTAACACAGCAGAGATGTAAACAGTAAGAGACTACCATAATTATTTCAATGAAGTCTTAATAAACTTAAAAACTTTGGTGTAATGGAAAAATTCCAACTGAACATTCATTCTCAGAGAATTTTGTACATAAATTCTAACAAACATTCAAACTTAGATAAACTTAGAAAAGAGAAAATGAGGAGATACTTCCCAATTTTATGAACCTAAAACTATGATACCAAAGTCGGGCAAGGCATATCAAGGAAGAGGAAACTGTAGGTCAATCCACTCATTTATACAGATGCAAAAATCCTAAAAGGAATATTAGAAAATTCAATCCACTAATGTATCAAACGGAAAAAAAAAGAGATCAAGTAGTGATACATGCTATAACATGGATGAACCTTAAAAACATTAAGTGAAAAGATGCCAGACACAAAAGACCATAAATTATATGTTCCACTTATATGCAATGTCCACAATAGAAAAATCCACAGATACAGAAAACAGATCAGTAGCTGCCAAGAGGAGGGAGAAGAGGGAGTAACTGCTAGCAGATAAGGGGTTTCTTTATGAAGGGATGGAAACATTCTGGAATTAGACAGTGGTGATGATCACACAACATTGGAAATATACTAAAATTAGGTTGTCCTTTAGTTAGTACTGAAATTAGTTAAAATTACCAAGAAAAAAATAGCTTGACCAAAATTAAGTTAGGGCTATCTCTAAGGAAACACAGAGCACAAAGCAAAACTCATTGTATGTCCACGCCCTAGTAACATTTTTACTCAAGTCAAGCAACCAAATAAAGAAAAAAGTACAGCTTTGAGGGGAAGTAGGGGGAGACCAAAATACCTAGAAAGCTAATTATTTGCTATTTTTTCTATCTCTACCTCCTTACTACCTTCCAGTATTCTAAGTCATTAGGCAGACCCAACAATTTGCCCTTCCCAGTACAGGTGGGTCAGGTGTGCCAAATCCTAGCATCTGTTCTAGTTTCAGATATTAACATGTTATTAAAGGTAATAAAGTACTGAGCATATAAGACAATTGAGGCCAGGCACAGAGGCTCACTTCTGTAATCCCACCACTTTAGAAGGACAAGGTAACAAGATTGCTTGAGCCCAGGAGTTCAACACCAGCCTGGGCAACATAGCGAGACCTCACCTCTACAAAAAATTAAAAAATTAACCGGTCATGGTGGTGTACACCTGTAGTCCCAGCTACCCAGGAGGCTGGGCTGGAGGATCGCTTGAGTCCAGGAATTCAAGGTTACAGTGAGCTATGATGGGGCCATTGCACTCCAAACTGGGTGACAGAGAAAGACCCTGTCTCTTAAAAAAAAAAAAAAAGACCCATAAGCAATACAAAATTTGTTATCAATTTTTAAGTGGCAAAGTTGCAATCTAACCAATTCATTCTTCATTTACAAGAGGAAAAAAATCTAGATGACTTTCCGTAACTGTCATGAAATAAAAAGCTTGTCAGATACCCTCCAAGTTTTACCTTGCAAGTTCCTTTGGTTTGAATTTCCACCATGTGTCCGGTTCCCGGAAAAGGACTTTATATTTATGTTTTTGAGACTACATACAAAAGAGACAAAAACATTTTAAAACAATTATTCCATGAAATTAAATTTGTTTCCAAACTCACAGCATGTTGTTTTTTTTTTTTTATTTTTAGCATCTAGAGGGGGAGACACCAAACTCACAGCATGTTAAAAGTTAAAGAACCTAAAAGATTATCTCTAATCTATATGGATACACTAAACTAGCAAAATATACAAAATACTCTTTGACCCAGCAGTTAACTTCCAGAAATTTATGCTACTGATAAATACTTATGTAAGAGTGGAAAAATACACATATATGTCAGGATATGCAGTTCACCATTATTTGTAAGCAAAAGAATGTAAATAACTCAGTGACTATTAATATAGAATTGGCTGAATAGATGAAGGTAAAATCACAAGATGATAATATTATACAGTAGTTTTTTTTAAATTCTATATATGTTAATGAGAAATGTCCTTAAAATAAATTGTTAAGATAAAGAAGAATTTTCACTTAAGTAAAAAGGATTATTTACACATTGGTACACACATAGAAAACTTCTGGATTCTCAAAAATACTATTAAAAATATCTACCTCTTAAAAGAAAAAAGCATCTACCTCTAGGGAGAACAACTTTTGGCATTCTTTGAATATTTATCATATATATGCATGCCTTTTATAATTTTAAAACTATTTTAAATAATATCTCATTACATTTTTTAGAGCTCTAATTTTGCTATAATCTAACAGCCAAGCCCTATGCTTGTGCACTCCCCTCTCTCCTGCTCAAGGATAATTGAGTACCTAATTCAGCTTTTCAATAAGTTAATGATGGCTAACTTCTTGAAAGCAGTGATGTCAAAGCTGGGCAAAAAAGAACAAGTAAACATAGAGGAGTAGGCATATTCCAGGTAAAGGGAGAAGCACTAG